ACCTATTGTTTTTGGTAAAGGAACCTATTGTTTTTGTCTGATTTTCTGGACGCTCTTGAGGCCGCAATTATGGCCCACACATCACGAATTTCTACATGGAGAAGGGGATTGAGCCAAAGCATGCCTGTTTTTATAAAGATCGGTCAATATAATGGACCTTTACTTTTGGGTGAAAAATGACAAAATTTGTATTCAATAGCGTATATATTTACCCCTGAATCGCATAGAACCGAGAAGTTCATAGTATATCTAAGAGGATTGGTTGACCTTTAAATTGATACCAATTATATTGTTGTATGTGCTCGGATGGGGGATTTACACCTAAATATTTACAGGTGCTTACGTACTCAGATATTATTTAGTAACACATTACCACACTAGAGGCGGAAATACAGCACGGATAACTTTGAAACTTTCCATGAAGATCCAGGTATGGCCACGGATAACGCCTATAATTTTCGGCGATGATCAGATAATAATATTGGGATGAGGTGAATATTAGTAATATTTGTTGACCTCTATAGTCGGTCAAGAGGGTGCAAATAGAACGAAATATTTTCCATGCTCAGAATATATAACCACAGAATGTTAGATTTTCGTGGATGTTGTGTAGGGTATCATATGGTCGGCCCCGTCCGACTATACTGGTCCGCTCACTGGTTTGGTTTTGTTTTCCGAAAAGTACTAAAATTGATTGCGCCCATCTATCCAACTTATTTTGCTGTTCCTTATTACTTATTTTGAAAGGTTCTCAAGGTTCAACAATACCAATCGATACATTTACAACTCTAATATTAACAGTACGGATAAGAATTTTCAATTTCAAAATAAATTCAAAGTTCGTAAATTAAAATGGTAATAGAAGGCAATCTACACTGTGCTACCGACTAATGATATAATTAGTATATAAGATTATTATGAAAAACAAGAAAAAAAAACTTTTTTAATTCGATCGGGCCAAACATTCATATATACCCTTCGTAAGGATATTCACAATAACCAAATGTCATGATAAAATTTTGGTAGGAAGATTTGACACTTAATGAAAAACTTATTTGTAAATATATAGCCAAAGCAGTTTGAAGAATGTGTCCAAATATCGAACAATGAGGTGTACCGCCATATGCAGCCTATCTCGAAACTTAGGTAGATAAAATAATAATAATTTTTGGTTGGAAGATTTTGTTGCCCAAGAAGAACCCAAAATAATAAATTGCAACAAATTAACAAGTGAGCATGAACAGCTTTGTTATGTAAGGCCGAGCTAAATTTGTTTACATACTCCAACACTTGGTGTGCATTAAGAATTCCTTAAATCGGCCGACTGTGCAGCACTAAAATCTTGAACCAATCTTCACTATTTCAAATGAGACCCCCAAAATCTTGAAGCTTGTGATGGTGGAAGAAAATCCCTAGCTGGGTTTTGCATTATTAGCTAAGGTTTTCTTTTAAATTAATTTTTAAAATATTCGACTGGAGGTGGATTTTAACACAATTTTCGAATAATACGTACTTATTATTTAGTCTATATCTCGTGAACTATTCGATATATAGCTCTTCTCTCTTAAGCAAAATTCTTCATCTTAATTAGAACTAAAAATTTGTTCTTGAGATTAAATCAATAAAACATCACCATTATACTGAAAATAGTACAAATGCAAAAAAATTAAAATTTCGACATACTTTTTCCATGTTTTTTCACACTTATTTCAGAAACTGCTACTGACTCGACCAAACAATATATGACAAGAAGATAGCCAATAGCAAATCAAACAACTCTTCTTAAAACCCCGATTTCATTGGTTGACTCCTTCACATAGTTATAGCCTCACAAATTCATCAAAATGAACAAAAAAACTCACTCCCAATTGTATGTTTATAGAAATAAAAATGCTATGCTTTTTTAATAGGTACACAATTAAAGTAAAAATTAAAATGTTTGGGACCTTTGCTTTTTTTCGAAGACATGTCGCTGCCATATATGCACAGGGTAATATGCAGCGGTGGCAACAATATGTCACTTATATTTATACCCTTCACCACACTATGGTACAGGGTATTATGTCTTTGTGCATATGTTTGTAACAGGCAAAAGGAAACGAGATAGACACATGGTTCCTTTTTAGAATATGCATAGAATCACTTTCTAAGTCGATTTATGCATGTCCGTCCGTCTGTCTGTCTGTCCATGTTAAATTGTAAACAAAGTACAGGTCGCATTTATGATCCGAATTGGATGAAATTTGGCACTGCTAGTCTATTTGGCGCAAGGACGAACCCTATTGAAATTGGGAAAACACGGTTCCGATTTAGACATAGCTACCATATATATTTTCGTCCGATTTCATGTAAATGGTGTACCAAAGTCCCTATATATCTTCCAATTTACACGAAATTTGGCACAGCGTACTGAATTGGATCTAGAATGATGTGTGCCAAGTTTGGTGAAAATCGGTTCAGATTTAAATATAGCTCCCATATATATTTTGTTCGATTTAAGGTAAACGGGTGTGATGTGTGCTAAGTTTGGTGAAAATCGGTTCAGATTTGGATATAGCTCCCATATATATTTTCGTCCGATTTAAGGTAAATGGTGCACCAGAGTCTGTATTTATCTTTCGATTTGCACGAAATTTGGCACAGCACAATGGATTAGGTCTAGAATGATGTGTGTTAATTTTCCTGAATTCGGTTCAGATTTAGATATAGCTTCTATATCCGACCAAATGAAAAATTTAGTATCGGTTGCAGAACGACATGTTTATGGATCCAATTAAATTTTACTGGTCCTTCAAAAATGCGACGTCTGTTAGGGTTCATCTGTTGAATATACCCAAAATGGTGAAGGGTATCATGTAGTCGGCCCCGTCCGACTTTACTACTTTCCTTACTGGTTTTTATTAGTGGCTCTGCTGTCATGTCTAATGTGGCATCTTTTACTCCTGACATACGTTTTTCCCAAGTGTGCGAGTAGTGATCGACTTTTGCTCGTGTGTCCAAACGGCACAAAAAGCAATAATACTTTGGCCATCCAAAATATTGACAACTTTAAGGTCGCACCTCCAGTTCCTGCGTTTACCCTGTGCATATATCGCTGCGACATGTCTTCGAAAAAAACTAAAGGGCCCAAACATTTTAATTTTTACTTTAATTTGGTACCTATTTATTGAAAAAGCATAGCAATTTTTATTTCTAAAAACATACAATTGGGAGTGAATTTCTTTGGTTCATTTTGATGAATTTGTGAGCCTATAACTATGTGAATGAGTCAACCAATGAAATCGGGGTTTTAAGAAGAGTTGTTTGATTTGCTATTGGCTATCTTCTTGTCATATATTGTTTGGTCGAGTCAGTAGCAGTTTCTGAAATAAGTGTGAAAAAACATGGAAAAAGTATGTCGAAATTTTAATTTTTTTGCAGTTGTGCTATTTTCAGTATGATGGTGATGTTTTATTGATTTTATCTCAAGAAAAAATTTTAGATCTAATTAAGAGGAAGAATATTGCTTAAGAGAGAAAAGCAATATTTCGAATAGTTCACGAGATATAGACTCAATAATAAGTACGTATTATTCGAAAATTGTGTTAAAATCCACCTCCAGTCGAATATTTTAAAAATTAATTTAAAAGAAAACCTTAGCTAATAATGCAAAACCCAGCTAGGGATTTTCTTCCATCATCACAAGCTTCAAGATTTTGGGGTCTCGATTGGTTCAAGATTTTAAAGTTGAAAAATGTGTCACTGTGTTATTAGAGAAAATTTACATGTACATTCCTATGAAATATTTGTTGCCCCATCATGTGGTTCAATTAAGCGTGGAAACCAATTAACCGTAGGGTCAATTAACCGAAAAATACCGTATTATTTAATCTAATCCTATGGTCTGCCTTACTTTGGATATAACGAACTTCTTCTATAACGAACAAATTTGTTTGGTCCCTACTAGTTCGTTATAACCGTACTTCATTGTAGTATTATTTGATTTTTGTATGTCCACATTTTTCATAGGATATATCGGCTATCTCTTGTTGAAGTAAACATTCTTGAATGTGTTCCCCTCCCCATAGACAATACAACATAAACTTAGTCTTTTAATTTAATAATTTATTTGGTTATGGCATTTATTTGTGTGTTAACTGCAAGTGTTTAAAACAAAACTGGGGCAGCGCCATAAGTCAATGGAGCAGAGTAAGCGAAGGGAGCAGAATAGGTGGTAGCGTAGTTGGCAACAACGGGGGCAGTGTAGGCAGCAGCAACTGGTGCGGCGAAAGTCTTGGCAACAATGGGAGCAGCAACAGTTTTGGCAACAACAGGGGTAGCAACGGGGGCAACAACTGGAGCAGTGGCAATACCATTGTAGTTACGGGCAACATATTGGCTACTGGTTGCGGTAACAAATGGAGCTGGGGCAGCAGCAACCACGGCAGCGGGTGCGGTGTAGGCCAAGTGTGTAACCAAACCAGGCTTAGCAGCAGCGCAGGCAATAATGGCGAAAAGGACAATGACAAATTTGAACATTTTGATTTTGTTGATTAGGATTAACTTTTTAATCGAATAAGTGAAGAACTTCTGATACTGAAACTAAATTAAGTAACCTATTTATATCCCCCAAACGTTATCTGGTTATTCGCATTATTAATTAATAATTGTGGATGTGTGTACACATGGCTAACTGTTTTATTGTGCATTTCATTTATATTCAAAACTTATTTTAATTAATTCGGTCAACTCACATACAAACGCATAATGGCATTCATGTATTCCGAATAATAAATTAAACTATTGAAATGTTTGTTTATGTTTTTCGGTAATATCAAAAAAATTAGCATGTGGTTGTTTGATGCCCAAACAAATAGTTAGCCATGTGTACAAACATACACAACAATTTTTTATCATTGATGTGTATAACTAGATCGCGTTTGGTGGATATAAATTGTTTAGTAAATTTGCGTTTCAGTATCAGAAGTTATTCATCTGTCCGAGTAAAATCATCACCAAACTCTAGAAAATCAAAATGTTCAAATTTGTCGTTGTCCTTTTCGCCATCATTGCCTGCGCTGCTGCCAAGCCTGGTTTTGTTACCCCATTGGCCTACACCGCACCTGCTGTTGTTGCTGCTGCCCCAGCTCCATTTGTCACCGCCACCAGTAGCCAATATGTTGCCCGTAACTACAATGGTATTGCCACTGCTCCAGTTGTTGCTCCCGTTGCCGCTCCTATTGTAGCCAAAACTGTTGCTGCTCCAATTGTTGCCAAGACTTTCGCTGCTCCGGTTGCTGCTGCCTACACTGCTCCCGTCGTTGCCAAATACGCTGCCACCTATGCTGCTCCCTTTGCTTACTCTGCTCCCTTGACTTATGGCGCTGCCCCAGTTTTGTTTTAAAAACTTGCTGTTATCATACCAATAAATGCCACAACCAAATAAATTATTAAATTAAAAAAAATATGTTAAGTTTATTTCCTTTGGAGGGGGACACAACCTAGAACGCTGCCTCACCAAGAGTGTTTTTGTGCGGATTTGTATTCACTGAAAATAAAAAGTTTAATACACAAAAAAGCTAAACTTTGTGTACATGAAACAGGTGATATTATTAAGTATATTTGGTACAGATTATACGTATATGAAATCATACTATACTAATATTTGGAAGCTATATTTATATGGAGGTGATCCAAATTAAAATTGATAAAATATATTATTAACCAGTAAGCGGAGCAGTATAGTCGGACGGGGCCGATCATATGATAGCCTACACTACTTCCATGTAAATCTAACTTTATGTGGTTCTGTATTCTGAGCTTGGGCAATATTTCGCGATATTTGAACTATCTGGACCAACTAGAGGCCGACAATTATTACTAATGTTCAATACAGCTCTTCTAATTACTTGTTCAGATTTCCTTCCCTTGTGTTGTGATGTTCTTATTTCCATTGGAGCCTATAGATCGACTAGAAAAACACAAAAAATTAAGTTTTCGGGTCCTCTTCATCGGATCATCACTTCATCACAATTTTCAAAGCGATCAGCGCTATATTTCCGCCCTCTAGTGTGGTATTGTTTACTAAATAATGTCTGAATACGTAAGCACCTGTAAATATTTAAGTGTTACTCCCACATCTGAGTACATACGACCATATAATTGGTATCAATTTAAAGGTCAACCACTCCTCTTGAACACACTATAAACTTCTCGGGTCTTGGTCCTTCAGGGGCAAATATATACGCCATAGAATACAAATTTTGTCATTTTTCACACAAAAGTCAGGGTTCATTTGACCCGCTAAATATTGACCGATCTTTATCAAAACAGACATACTTATTCTTTGGCCCGTCCCCTTCTCCATGCAAAAATTCGCGGTGTTTGGGCCATAATTGCGGCCTCAGGAGTGACAATAAAAACTGACAAAAATAAAGTTTTTGGTCCATTTCATCCCCTAAACATTAACCGATCTTTTCCAAAAACAATAGGGGTCTTCATTGGCCAGAACCCATTCTACATGCAAAATTCGTGAAGATTGGTCCATAACTGTGGCCTCTATCGTGTTTACAAATTATAATGGACAGACGGACGGACACACATGTCTAGATCGACTCAGCTAGTTAAGATATGACGATCGGTATACTTAAAGGTGGGTCTAGGATCAATATTTCGCGGCGTTACAAACTTTTGGAGCTGCACAAAGCTATAATACCCTGACAACATAGTTGTGTAGGGTATAAAAATACTGAATAATAGAAAATATCTTACACTAATGGTAAAAGTATTTTTCCTCTAGGAGGTGCTATTTTGGTATTTAAGGGGACCCCCCATTCTCGTTGTCAAAATGTTCTTCAATTTAGTTCGAATCTACTCTAATTCAAGAATTCCTTACAAAATTTCAAGTGAACATCTCAAGAACTCTTGAAGATATAGCCGATGTATTGTGTCAGCATCAAGTGATGGCAACTCATTTTTAAACTCATTTTTCCCGAAAATGTGTGTTTACGAATGGCGGGCACGATAACTCAAAAACTAATAACCCAATCTGTTCCAAGTGTAGCTATCGTATGAACTAGGATAAAGCCAATCGGTGAAGGTCTTCCTTATTTGTTAACTGGTTAACTAGATTGCCGTAAAAAATGGCGAATTTCAAAAAAAAAATTAAAGGTCCGCCATCTTGTTAATTTTTGAGTGATGTTAATAATCCTAGTTCATACGAGAACCACACATGAACTCTTTCTAACACCGTTGGAATTTTCGGATTCCGATGTTCCTGTAAGGAGTTGTCATGGTCGCCGTCAAAAATAAGGACTTTTATTTAACCAACAAAACAACAACTATATTTAGTAAATTATTTTTCTTATCTTTTAAATCTTCAAATATATATGTGTGAGGGGCGGGTAAGAGTGGCATGGGAACGAACGATTAAAAAAAATGAAGTTACAAACCTTAACATGCATTGGTATTAATTTACCAGCCCATTGAAAAACTTGAAAATATAAAATCGTGAATGGGGTGGGGGTGTTCCCTTAAAGAAATATTTAAAGAAAAATATGTACAAAATTCCAAAAATACCGAATAATATAGGGTATCGTTATATAGAGGCTAACCTGCAACTTGAGTAGATATTAATAATTTTTGGAAAAAAGATATACTATACTATGATA